TTTGGTACAAAAAGATTCTACTCAAAATGTCTCTGCACATGATCAATGTCCCATTGTTGTGCGATATGTTGTGGAGGATACAGCTAAAGAGCGATTGGTACGCCTTCTGAATGATGAGGACTCAAGCAGCAAGGGCTTACATGATTTGCTAAGAGATTCTTTGTCTGACATTGTACTGAATCTGGAGCAGTGTATTGGTGATTCATGCTGCCAACATGAGTGGCACATATACAGGATTGCAAGCGTTGATAAAAGAAGTGCGTCCTAGTCACATTCATACGTGGTGCTATGCTCATGTCCTAAATCTTGTTATATGTGATGCAAGCAGTGTATGTGTTCCAGCAGTGAGTCTGTTTGGACTTCTTGGTAACTTGTCCACCTTTTCCTCCTACAAAAGGATTACAATTTTTGAAGACCAGCTGAAAGCCAAGGCTGGAAGTGCTAAACTGAAAAGACTTCCTAAAATGGTACTACCAGGTGGTCAAGCAAAGCCAGAGCCCTTTGGAAACTTTGCGCAACATATATTCTGATCATCTGATTTTAGAAATTAAGTTCGTCATGAGGCTCTAAAACTAAATGAAAACTTTCATAAATTTTAAACCATCCTGGCAGCTTTTACATTTATAGGATTTTTTGAAATTACTACTCTGTGTCAGATTACTTGCAGTCACCAGCCCTTGACATTATGCAGGCATGGCGAATGGTTGAGAATGCTACAAACCATTTATCAAAATTTCAAGAGACTTTCCAGGAGTCTATGGACAAAAGTGGTAAGTGGTGTCCCTCAGGGTTCTGTTTTGGGACCACTTCTATTTAACTTATTTATAAATGATTGAAATAGGCATTGAAAGCCATGTTTTAGTGTTTGCAGATTACACAAAACTATGTAAAATAATAAAATGTGAACAGTATATTGCTTTGCTGCAGAGGGATTTGGATAGATTGAGGGACTGGGCACTAAAAGGGTAGATGAAATTTAATGTAGAGAAATGCAAAGTTATGCACTTCGGGGTCAAGAATGCACAAGCAACTTATGCCCTAAATGGTAGTGAATTAGGGATAACCACACACGTGAAGGATTTGGGAATTGTTATAGACAACAAATTAGGCAGCAATATGCAATGTCAATCGGCAGTTGCTAAGGCCAGTAAGGTTTTGTCATGTATAAATAGGGGCATAAATTCTTGGAATGGAAATATAATTTTGCCTCTTTATAAATTGCTGGTAAGACCACACCTTGAATATGCTGTGCAATTTTGGGCACCTGGTCTAAAGAAGGATATTATGGCACTAGAAAAAGTGCAAAGATGAGCTACAAAATTGATAAAAGGAATGGAGTATTTTAGTTACGAAGAAAGGTTAAAAAAAATTAAATCTCTTTAGTTTGGAAAAACAGCGCCTCAGAGGGGATATGATAACATTATACAAATATATTCGGGGCCAGTACAAACCTTTATCTGGAAACCAATTCATAAACAGGGCTATACATAGGACACGAGGTCACACATTTAGGCTGGAAGGAGATTTCATCTAAGGCAAAGAAAAGGTTGTTTTACAGTAAGAGCAATAAGGATATGGAATTCTCTGCCTGAAGAGGTGTTTTTTCTAGAGTCAAGGAGTCCATACAGATGTTTAAACTGCAATTGGATAAATACTTGCAAAAACATAACATACAGGGATATAATTTCTAATTAGTGGGGTGATAGCTGCTTGATCCTATGAGACATCTGACTGCTATTTTGGGGTCAAGAAGGAATTTTTTCCTAGTTTGTTGCAAAATTGGAAGCACTTCAGACTATGTGTTTTGCCTTCTTTTGGATCAACAGCAAAAACATATGTGAGGAAGGCTGGACTTGATGGACGCAAGTCTCTTTTCAGCTATATAACTATGTAGAATGCATGTTTTGACCCAAACTGATTTGAAGATATACTGGCTTCTCCTGAAAAAATAAAGCTTGATGTCATTTCTACAGCTGTTCCTGAAATCAATGGCCTTGTTCTAGTTAAATCTCTCATGAAGACTGTTTGACAGTGATGATGAAACATTGATCCCTGCTAGAGAGGAAAAGCCTGACTTCTCTAACCCTGAGCCATCAACTTGTAAGCCTTCTATGAAAAAACTCTGCTGCAAACATTTCACATCCTGTGCATTTAAGCTGCTATTTCAGTATAGATTATGTTCTTTGGCCTATGAAAATCTTTATATGGCATACAGGTACGGTAGTATGCTCCTGTGAACAGTGTTTTTCAAAGTTGAAAATTCTGAAATCAAGACTTAGATCAACGCTTACTCAGCAAAATCTGGAGACATTGATGCTTATTGCAATAGAGAAAGATGTTTCTTCAAGGTTAAGAAGAGACAAAGAGAAAATCATAGCCCGCTTTGGCAAGACATCTGCTGAACACCGCTCTCTGCTTCTCTTTTAAACTGCAGACTGGCCAATGCTATATATTTTTGTAGCTAAAATTGGATGGCACTTCTGATTGTTTTATTATTTGTATAGCACTGATTTTGATTGCATTGTAATTATTTGTATATGTAATTTTCTATTTATAATTTGTAATGCACTGGTTTTGTTTGTCTATTTATGATTTTTGTAATACTCTGGTTTTGTTTGTCTATTTATGATTTTTGTAATACTCTGGTGTTGTTTCTCTATTTATGATTTTGTAATACTCTGGTTTTGTCTATGATTTTGTAATGCACTTGTTTTGGTTTGTCTGATTATCATTGGTAATGCACTTGTCTTAGTTTGTCTGTTTATGATTTTGTAATGCACTTTTCTTGGTTTGTCTGTTTATCATTGGTAATGCACTTTTCTTGGTTTGTCTGTTTATCATTGGTAATGCACTTGTCTTGGTTTGTCTATTTATGATTTTGTAATGCACTTCTCTTGGTTTGTCTGTTTATCATTTGTAATGCACTTGTCTTGGCTTGTGCATTCGTTATTTATTTTGCACTTGTTTATAACGTATTGCACTTTTGTTCCTTGTGTCTAAAGATTGTGTAGGGTATGGCTGGAGGTGGGGTATGGAGGCAGGACAAAGCTGGGGCTTGAGGCGGAACATGGGTGGGGCCTGTAAGGGGGCCCTTGATTTATTTTGCCCGGGTGCCCTGAAGGTTCTCAGTCCGCCTCTGCCTTATTGGCTCCCAGCAGCACTCTATTTATGCATGTTTAGGTGAGTGCAGCCAGCCCCTTGGCTACACTCACCTAAACATATATATATATGAGAAAACAAGGGGCTGGCTGCACTCACCTAAACATGCATAAATAGGGTGCTGCTGGGAGCCAATAAGTTCAATAAAAAATAAAATCCAGTGCACTCCCTTATCCACTAAATATCAACTTTGGTGCTGACAGATTTTATTTGTTTTTTAAACAAAACACCTAATCTAGGCAAAAAATAATGGGGGTTTAGCCACACTACACGATCATACATTGCATTCAAAGAACTCCGAACACATCACAAAATATATATATATCAAAGCAGCATACAATTTAAGTTCTAAACAACTTTGTAAACCGCTTCAACAACTTTGTAAACAGCTTAAATAACTTAGTAACAGCTTAAATAAGTTAAATACTTTCTAGCAGATATTCTATCTAAATTAATTTTACTTTTTTTGCTTTGGCATTCACAAAGTCCTTCAGTAATGTTTCAAAGTCAATCTCCTGTGCCGTCCAATTCTCAATTGATATCATGGCAAGTTCCACGAGCCGTTCTTGGGACATTGAAGAACGCAGATAATTTTTTATAATTTTCTGCTTCGAAAAGCTTTGCTTACCTGTGGCAACAGTTATTGGCTAGGTCAACATAATACGAAGTGCAATTGCCACATTTGGAGCAAATCCATTCCTCACTGCACAGGCCAAAATAGCAACAGGTGTCATCGTAGGTTTTATAACAGGAGCCAAGACAGCAAGTTCTTCACACAGTTGCCTTCTATCTACTCCTTTGATTTTGAATCGTTTATGACATTCTGCAATTCCATGCAGAACTTCTTTTTGCACATCTTTTAGCTTGCGGATGTCATACAAAAATTGAAAATATGTGGAATGATCTTTCATGTACAGATGTTATTGTTATGTCTAATATTGGGAAGAAACATTTCACTTTAAATTTATTTTTAGGGTCTAAGATAGTATCATCTGGAACCTCATACAAAAACAGCTTTTTTTTTCCTCGTCCGATGCACTTGAGGGGAAACACTGGGTCTGTTTCCATATCCACTGCTAGCTCTCCTGCTTCTTCAAGTAAATCCTCAAAACCATCATCTGTCCGATAAGACTGAAAAAATGTTTTGATTGATTCCAAAAGTTCCACAGCATCTGGCAAGTACATTGACTGGCTTTGAAGAACTATGCTGACAGAATTAATACGACTCAATGTGTTAAACCAAAGGATGATAAAACACAAATTTGTTTAAAGATTTTGCCAAGGATGAAGCTTCAATTCTTGCAAGAGCAGCAAAATTCACATCACCTCCGATTTCAATTAAATGGCAGAATAGCATCAGTTCTGATTGACCATCTAGTATCAGATACCTGCTTAACTGTCAGCTTACTCACACATTTTTTTTAGAACATCCCATCGATTTGTTGAACCTGATAAAAACCATATATTTTCTGAAGAATGCCAGCATCCCTACAGCACATAGTAGCATCATTTACAACAAGACTTGAGGAATGTGCACTGCAGGGGACATAGAAAGCATGTGAGTTCAGGTCCATGATTCTTTTTTATACTCCTGAGTGCTTGCCCTTCATGTTGGAGCCATTATCATACCCCTGACCTCTCATATCACTGAGAGGTATCTTCAGCATTTCAAGCTCATTCATAATTGCATCTGTTAATCCTTCTCCAGATGAGTTGTGAACTGTCAGGAAACCAAGGAATCTCCTTGCTTAACTGATACAAACCTGAAAATCATAGCCATCTGTTCAACAAGAGTAATGTCAAAGGTACAGTCAAGTATTATGGAATAATACTTGGCATCCTTAAGCAACCACATAATGTGGCTCCCTATTTCTTTTTAAATTAAACCAATTCAGTTCATTTTGAATGTCTTTTCCTAAATAATGCTGACTAATTTCTGAATTCTCTATCTTTTTCAAGTGGTTTTGCATCACACTATCATATGTTGCCAGCATTTCTACAAGTTTCAAGTAATTTCCATTGTTTTCAGAGTACAGCGTGTCACTGCTGCCCCTGAAGGCCAAGCCCTGCTTCCCAAGGTATTGAACAATGGCTACAAGGCGCTGAAGAACATTCTGCCAGTACTGCGTTTCAGTTGCCAATAATCTTTGGTATGAACGGTCAAACGGTCCTGACCCAAGCCTTGTTAACAGTCCTGTCCAGTCTCCCATAGCAGTGAGGTGAGATGGAGACACTTTATAATCGTTGTAACCTCCCGTTGTTAGACCCATTTGCGTAGTTGTAAAGAGTTTACAACAAAAGCAAAAGATTTCATCCAGTTTAAGAGAATAACTAAGCCACTTTCTAACATGCACTTCACCTATTCCAAGGCGCCGTCTATAGTGAGTTGATGTAAACCGTCTCTTGGATGCATCTTTAGGAAATGCAAAGTGCTCTTTTGGCTTTGACGGACCTTTCATAACGATGGTTTCTTTTAGTGAGCTAGTAAGCGTATCAGCCCAGTCAGCTGAATCCAAGAAGTCTACCAGCGTGCTTTTTCCATTTTTATCTTCTGATGATGATGCTGATTTCTGTGAACTCTCTTCCTCAGTGTTTGTATCACTTTCCATACCCAAAGAATGTTCACCCATAGTTAAAGTAGAAGGCTGTGGTTCAACATGTACAGCTCCGCGATTCTCTTTAGTTTTGCACTCCAACTCGCTTACAGCTTTTTGTACTGAATCAAGTTTGAGGAACTTATTTAATGATCCAGCCATCTTAGAAATGTCTTCTGCTTGGAGCTTTCTTTTCTTTCGGAAAGCACCACCAGACAATTTCTTTCGTGCTGGTGGTGTAGACATTTTGCTCAATTTTCAAAATAACCATTGTAGAAGAAATGTACATCAAAAACTTTTAATATTCAATTAATATTCTTTCTATGATAATCACCATACCACAATAGTACTTTAAAATTATTTAGAAACCTACTGTACATATGTGTGCACGTGTGTGTGTGTGTGTGTGTGTGTATAAGAGGCATATTATATGTGTATGTAAGACTATAGCTAAGTTTTGCATGTATGAGAGCAGATGATGTAAACATGAATAATTAAAAATGGAGAGAGCAAGTGAGAGCTAGCACCCCCCATGCACAGATACACAATCATCCACCGTCACAACATAATTACACAATTACACACAGTCACACACATTCAACTAAAGTCATGGTCACTCACAATTACACGCACACAGTAAAATTACAAAGTCATATACAAAGTAATTCAATCTTCCATGGGAGTCCATGCAACAAAATGTGATGGGGAGTTACTCTTTGTAACCCCTCCTTCTTGTCATGCAAGGTGGACTATCCCTATCGCCCCCTGTTGGCATACTACTGAAGTGACAATGTTTCAGCCTCATAATACAGATTAGGAAACAGCGCACAAAATAAATCCAGTTTGAAATTTGATGAAGCTACTTAAAATCACCTATACTAGCAAAACAACATTGGGATTCAGTTACACCATATGGTGATATTTTGTTAAGTCCATCACTACGTCACAGTACCCCAATATCCATAGGTCCTACACTAATTTTAACATGGGAGATTAACATGCTCACTGCAGTACTTACTGCCTAAACTGCTTCCAGGACCCACTGATATTTGTGTACTTTGATCAATCAGCATCGCATAATAGAAATGCATTGAGTCAATGCATCTCTATGGGGAGCGTTCAGCATTTCCATGCAGATTGTGGTGAACTTGTTCTTTTGATCTTTGCAGGGCCTCATCTAGAAGCCACTGGGACAGCTGCTAAACACAGACTTTTCACATAAAAGCTATACTGTATTAAGCTGTAGTGGTTCGGTGCCTATATTTTCCCTTCAAGGTAAAAATAGCCAATCTGGCAATTTGCTGAAATTAGGTGTTTTCCCCCATTTGGCTATTGTGAAGTTTGATTCCCAAAAATTCACACTTTTATAAATGAACCTGTTAAAACATAGTTAAAATTGTACATTCCATTAAAGAAACATTTTTTATGCACCATTACCACTACAGAGCATAGTGGTCTGACACCCCTCCCCCCCATGTAAATAGTAAAACCGTATTAGAGCTGTTTGACTTCTTACCTTACCTGGCCCTACCTTCACTACATCAGCCAAGAGTCATAATATCTCTGCAATAGGCGAGTCTGAGCATGGTGGTTGATGTACTGGAGGTGGAGAGCAGCTTAAAGGAACACTATTGCGTCAGGAACACAAACCTGTATCCTATTACGTTACTGCAGTCCCCCCCTCCCCATGTAGTAATAAAGTGATTTTACTCACTTTTTCCCCACACCACATTGGTCTCTGCTTCCATGGTGGAGATCATTAATTTTTATGATCTAAGCCAATCCACTGCATGCGTAGCAAAACACTGCACCAATCAGCATCTCCTCATACAGATGCAATTAATCAATGCATCTAAATGGGAATGTTATGCTCCTCTATGCAGAGACGCTTAACACCAGTACTGCACACAGTGTCTACCTTTTAAATGCCTGCAGCGATGGGCTATAAACACCAGAACCACTACATTAAACTGTAGTGGTTCTGGGACTATAGTGTCCCTTTGCTGGTTGCTGCGAAGTGGCCTTTTTCCAACTCTGCCCCCTCTCTCTGTGCTCAAGTGTAGGAGGGGTGGACAGTTCGGGCGCTCCATGCGCCCTTGAGCTTCCTGCAGAGCTCCAGGAAGGTAAGTAAGTTTAGACCTCAGAGACAGCTGTTTGGCTCTCTCCGCCTCTTAGCCATCTCAGGTCTGCTGCACCCCCACGGTCACCGCGGTCGCGTCTCTCCCCAGCCTCCATACGGCAGTGCTGTGCCGCCTGAGGCCTGCTATATAGCGCTCAGGCAGTGTAGCATGAGGGGCGCTGCGCCGCTGGCCCATATAGTATTAGCGAGCCGACTTACATTCCGGGCTGCCTAGATCGCCTTAGAGGAAGCCTTGGCCCTGTTTGAGATGCTCCGTGTGTCTCATTCACCCCCCCCAGCCCCTCCATGAGTCTCGATTCCCCCCTTCCCAGTGTCTCATTACCCCTCCCACATATACTGTAAGCCCCCCACCACCCACTGTCACCATCCACCCTACTGTCACCATTAGTCCCCACTGTCACCACCAACCCCCCTGTCAACATCTCCCACACTGTCACCATCCCCCTCCCACTGTCACCACTTCCCACACTTTCACCACCACTGTCACCATTCCACACACACTGTCACCATCCCCTCCCCACTGTCACCACTTCCTACACTGTCACCACCCCACACCATCCCCATCCCCACACTGTCACCACCCTCTTACTGTCTCCCTCCCACACTTTCACCCACACACTGCCACCATCTCCTCACACAGTCACTCTCCCACACACACACTGTCACCATCATCCCCTCACATTAAAACTTCCATCACTGTCACATTTTCTCACACTGTCACTGCTTCCCACACTGTCACCATCCCCCCACAATTTTCTGAACTTCGGCATTTCGAAATTTTGGGACTTCGGCACTTCGGGACTTCTATTGCAGCCGCTTAGTAGATAACTCCCTAATTCCCACGGTATTAGGGAGATATCTACCAAAAGGCTGAAAGACCTAAATTGGTCTTTCAGCCAAATTTACTAATACTAAGTAAAAATTACTTAGTATTAGTCAATTTTGCCCCTACTCGCTATACCGCGAGTAGGGGCATGTCTAGTAAACAGTGAGCAGTCTGTGGCCAAGCGACAGAAGGGGAGGAGCACAGCACTTCCCTCCTACCAATCACCATGATTGTTACTTACCTTTCTCCTGGCCACAAACTCTGCTCCTCGGTTCGCAATCATGGTGAGCCGGCATAAAATAGCTGCACATCCATGGAGCGTTAGTAAAGGTGGGAAAACGTAAAGCGGGAGTACGTAAACCAGGAAATGCCTGTATATACATATATAGAAAACCTTCCTTGCAAGATAAATCATAGAACATGACAAACACATTTACAACAGAATGTGTTATAATCAGAAATACTTACTCAGCCAGAAGGTCAGAGTAATGAAGATATTCCAGGAAAGATAAGGCATGGAACAAAAAGTACAGTCAAAGAAATTATCGATGAAAAAGAGTCCACATTCTTTTAGAAATGTAAAACATCTGAAGCATTAAATTTTTTTTTATAGTTTACTTTATTATAAGATACTCTTGTTTCTTTCAAAACGTAATCTGTGCATGGGGGGGACACATGTTTTTATACACGATTCCCAGGATGAGCCCCCATACCCCAGAATCATTAAAATCAATGAAGAAGGATCGTATTTCTGAAGTACTCAGAGAATTAAGATATTAGGTATAGATTGTAAAACTCTTACACAGGAAGTATATATTTTTTTACATAGTCAACTCCACAATTTCAACCTTCACCCTCCCTGCCACAGTCACACCCTTAGCCTGTCACACTCCAAACAACACTAACCCCTTCTATGTGGATGCTTTCTTGCAAAAACATAGTATTCAAGGATATAATTGATATGTATGTAAACAGGTTGTTGCTCCAAGGAGAAATCCAATTGCCATTATGGAATCAAAAAGGAATGTTTATGTGGCATAATTGGAATTGGCTTATTTGTCTTGTTTTGGAATAAAAGAATGAGTTTCATGGTTGAACTTGTTGGACTTTAGTCTTTTTTTGCAACCTAGATTATTATGTTACTATACTACAAAGACTGAGCCTTGGGCTACATAGTGCTGCACGTGCCAGCAATCAACAATGGTCATGAGATGAGCTAATGCAGTATGGGGTCTTGAAATGTTGGGGTTTTGATAGGTCTTTTGGCAACTGTGGGGTGTGCGTGGAAGAATATCTGAAATTATGATTGAGAGAAGGTTTTGGTTGCTATGTTGTGTCAGCCTGCAGTGTGTATATATACAAGACAGGTGTTCTTGCCAGCCAAGCCAACTTCCTAAATGTCCTCATTATTGTTAGTGAGGAGAACCAACCTTTCTCTATAGTGTACATGCTGCTGTGTAGTCTGAGTAACAGATGAAAGATAGCGCCCTCCATAGAGACCCACAGGTGTGTGCAGTGGCCCCATTGGGGTATATTTCAAAGAGCTGGAGTTTAACTAAAAGAGGGTAGGCACTGCGTCTCTGTGGGTCATATGTCACAGAACCAGTTATTCTTGAAAATGACTGCAAATCCAGTGTGGCAGCAGCATCAGTACAGATAACGGGGGATAAGTCGAACAGTGGTGAAATTAACATGGCTTTCCTCTTCCAGTGGGATAGGGACCCATGACCAGGTCTGCTCGAGCCTGAACATCGAGTTTTCGGTAGGCAGTCAGGAAATGACGTAGTAACCTTGTGATAAACACGTATGGCAAAAATAGAAAAAGTGAGGTTAGGTCTCCAAATAAAATTTAGATGGGACCCACCTGGAATTGCCTCTATTGTTAAAATATCATAAATGGTAATAGACTTTATTGAAAACCAAATACACATAACAAACAAATCCATGTAAAAAAAGATGTAAACACAACCTACATATATAAGACAAAAAACACAGCAATACACCTTTAAAAACCTGGGTTAGGAATACTCCTATACATATGTATACATGGAGATAAATATCTGTAGTATATACTATTGGATTAAAACAGAATATGTAGACAGATCTCTCATATATATATATATATATATATATATATAGTCAGGCTCAAAATATAGAAGGAGAGTTCATCCCATGCTCTGTCTCAGATAAAGGTGACAAAGTGCCTTATAATAATTAGACACTGAACATGCTATGTCCAAGTCACATGTCTTGTGGTCTATACACAGGGCCGGCCTTAGG